TCGCAATTTGGCAAGCTGGTGAAAACGATGAATTTATTATGACCACTAACGCATTTGGAATCTTTGAAGGCATAAATGTGACTACTTCAATGGGTCCAATTCATAAAGCCTATCATGAGTTTTATGTCATCTCCCCAAAATTATTATTGGTCCTTTGTGATAGTAGATTTCGAGGTGGTATATTTGAATTTAGAGATAATTTTTTGGGAATTAAATATCGTTCAGTTTTTGAAGATGTTCCTCATCCACCACCGATTCCGGAATATGTAAATATCTCTCAAGCTAATACTAAGTTAAAACCAGACGATAAATCTGATGATCGGTTTGAAAAAGATTGGTGGGACAAGAAAACAGGCATCAAAAGACATCCTGATGACAAATTTACCTTTACATTCGTTAAAGTCAATTCAGCCACTGTTCACCTCGTAAATTCCGTTTTGCTTAATGAGGCTACTCCAGACCTACAAGTATCATTTCTTTCCCTTTCATACCTTTATAAAACAATAGTTAAATACAATAAAAATGTCAAGGACATTAGTACACTGAAAGACTTCTCAAATGTGAAAAAGACCTTGTTCAGGGAATTTAATAGAATTCATGAAGATGACCTAAGTCTCCGAAAAAATATTTCTGCCGGCAATTATGTGTTGGAATCTAATCACATTGATTAATTGAGGATTTCATATAAGGTTAACAATTCGTTTTAAAAACTATATTCTATAAGATAGTATTTTTTTTTTTTAGTAATTATTATTTTTCTTTTATTTTCTGTTATCGCATATCATAATTCACTCTCGTTATAATATGCTGAAAATTTTTCAATAAAGCATATATTGAAAAATAATAGAGCTCAGTTGCACATGGACAATTCAAGACGTATTGTGCGTATTAATCTTATGTTCTCATATTTTCATGAGAATTATATTATCTCTTAATTGAATGCTTTTTTTTTAAAAAAAAAAGTAGTTTAATTATCGCGAGTTTCAAAATGGTTGAAAATGTAAATAAAATTATTTATTTATTTATTTATTTTGGTGAACTTCGAACACGCGTGTTGATTGAAGTCGATGTCTGATTTTATGTATTGTTTACCAAACAATAGTCACGTAGATTAGATTTGTACTTCATAGGTGCTAAGGTTATCGAATATAAAGATGGTTTCAAAATTCAAAAATGAAATTAAAGCAATAATTAATAATTAAGTGATATGGTTGCAATTTTCTGTTTTGAATTTCGGTGCCATCCTAATTCGAGTTCAAGTGTTCAAAAAAAAAAAAACAAAAAACTTTTTTTATTTGACATTTTGAAAACCGCGATAAATAATTGGTAATAATATTAAGTTAAAGCTTTATCCTTTATTCCGTTTTAAGGCAAATTGCCTGTGAATTTTGTGAATTAGTGCACTTCTTCCGGCAAATCTCACGTAAATCATGACATAAGGGTATTTGATGCTATAAGAAGACAGCTTTATTCAAATATCATTTTGGCAGTGTATAATTTTTATCTTCATAAACTTTATTTATTTTTGGGGTCTTCTAGATTTTATATGAGTTAAGCGACATTCTTTTAAAGATCTAAAACACATCGAACTTGCATATTACAGTACATTAGTTACAAAACAACGACACGTCGAATTATGATTTTTGAATAAAACGTGACTTTTAGCTAAAATTATTGGATATTTGCTATTCTATATATAATGCTCATGCATGGTATAGAAAAGTATTATTTTGCTCGTCTCTAATTGGATCTTAATGTCAATCTTTTCAAAGTTTCACTTTAGAATACTTGGTCGCTAAGCCTGTGCATCTAACCAAACATTGGCATCTGTAAATCATATGAACGCTTATGAAAAAACTTCCCATATTCCCAATAAGTTATTTAACGAGCGTACATCGAGAGCGGTTGGTCACGACTCTTATGTCGGGGAAGGAGCACCTAAAGATAATTATAATAAATTTATCTAAATTCCCAAATCATCATAGTCACGCCTCTGGCGAATTGGCTTATCACATTTTTTTCCTTGCATTTAAAATCTCCCTGTGACAACACGATTTAATGTTAAGACCTACATTGGTATACAAAATTCGATAATTAATAGTTATTGGATGCTTCGCATCCAATAACTGTAGTATTCGGCACATTGACATTGATTAAGTAGTGATCAGCTGATCACTATTTAATTAGTGTCAGGTGACGAATACGAAGACGTATCTGGCCCAGAAATCTGGAATTTAATATGCAGACTCTGGGCCCCTGCGGGGCCCAGAGTCTGGCATATTAAATTCCAGATTTCTGGGTCAGATACGGAAGTTATTGGTGCGTAGCAGCCAATAACGGTTTTATCCGGTAGATGACGACGATCAGACAACTTATCATTCATATA